CTAACCTAACGCATTCTGTAAAATTTAACACAATACAATAGGCGCTAACTGTATTCCCGGGAGAGCTGCACCTCAACTGTGAAGCTGAAGTGGCCAATTAATTTCAGGCTCGTCTATATCGCGCTTTGAGGAGTTCTATTAAATCAACATATTGCACTAATAATCCACATGAACTGCTTGCCTCTCTACTAGACGCTCAAATTGAAGGCCATGGCTCGAGCACAAATATCAGGAAATATCTAGTCGAAGATATACTAAATCTTGACCAGGTAGGTAATCATACCCGGTTAAAGGAGATTCGCAATCCCTGGTCATCGCGATCATTGGGTTACAGGCTCTATCTCATATTTCTGAGTTCGAACAATCTCCTGTGAACTAAGCCGCGAATTTGTAATTAGCTTCGCACGGCATACCTAATTGGAGTCTATCATCGTGGCGAAAATGCACCAGGAAGTAGGTGCATACTTGTGCTACTGCCTGCGACTAGTATGGTGCGGAATTTGGGCGCTGCATATGAATTACTGTGCCGTGAGGAAACAGAGGGAGGGTGGTGTTGTTGGCCGCTCAGAAATCTTATTGGGCCTCAGTCGGGGAACCGGGAGATCGGCGGAAGGCGCAGATTCACCATGAGTACCTATTAAATCCATTGCTCCGTTTCTATGCTTGCACAATAGTTCTATGGGACTTAAGCCGCGGCTCCGGTAGTGAACAGAAATTATCAGGTCATACCATCTTACGGTGGCAACTGGGACGGGGACTTTCGTATGCCTGCAATGCCGGACATACGATGAACTGTGTGCCAAGACTGATATCCCGGTAGATGCGTATGCAGGTCAAAACCAACAGACTTCTGACATTTTTTTTCATACTAGTCGCGAGACACGTGCTGTCTTTGCCACCTATTGGGTGTTTCAATAAGCGTGTGCGCTTACATAGACAGTGGATAGCCTGGTCCGAAACTTATCCGCGTACGCTACAAGTCAATATGTTACAAGGGTCTGGAGCATGCACGGGAACGGGATATGACAGACGCCCTGCGACGGGATCAACCCGGCAGCCCTGTGTAAGAATTGTCAATTCAAGAGTCAGAACGAGGTCGTATCTCAACTTACGATCAACGTATTAAGGCGCATTATATGTGTATCATATACGCAAAATATCAAAATCACCGTCGTGCCAATTGCTTGCAATTAGGAACCAGCTCCACGGCTCTAACCACTAGTAGCACTTTAACCGTCTCGGCCACCGCGACTGGTATGCTGCGTCTATCCCACTGTCCATAGACTCCATGGACTTTTGTAAAAGTACAATGCAGGGAGACGGGAGCTTGCATAGTCTAAGGTGTGGCTTAGGCCGTTTATCTCAACGCTGTTTTGCTTGAAGCTTAAAAATTGTGTTACATGGACTTTCGAATATTCCACGTAAGCGATTGGACAATGCGGACCACCATCAGATGACCATGCAGGATCTTTTAAAGAACAGCAAGGCCGCTAAGAATATTTTGTCTTGGTTTGCATTGTCTAGATCGTACGTCTTAGACTTAAGTGTTGCCTATAGGAGGTAGGTAGGATGGATATAAATTCGGGGAGCCAGCTGGGCAAATGTTACGACATTCGTCCTCACCTTCATTTGACAACATTCTTATGCAAAGGATCTCTGCCCACAATATAAGAAACCTCTCCGAGATGTCGACGAATACAGAGAACATCAAGCGTACTATCCTGATCACAGGTTTGAACGGATATTTAGCTGGGCGGACGGCAGAATTAGTCCTCCGGTCAGGATACCGAGTTCGCGGCACCGTCCGCGACATACTAGCCGGCCAGAAAGTAAAAGCTGCTCTCTGCCGTCTAGGCTTTTGCTCAGACGATATTGATGTGGTACACGTTTCAGACATATGCCGGAATGACTCCTTTGACGCTGCTGCCGATGGTACGAACAAAACTAGTGTGCCGCAAGGAAAGAGGTGCTGATTCATAATCTTTAGGATGCCGTGCAATGTTTCACCTTGCCTCACCCATTAATAACATATGGACAATGCCTCCTTCAGAAGTTGTGCGGATAGCGGTGGAGAGCACAGCGGCAGTTCTTAGCGCAGCAGTCAAATCCGGTTCTAACATGGATAGTGTGATTCTCATGTCATCAGCAGGGGCTCTTTTCGATATTCCAACGGAAAACCGTCTCTACACAGAGAATGATTGGAACACTATGTCTGAAGCGGTAGTTGCCCGAGATGGTGACAAAGCCGGCGCGTTCCATGCATACCTTGCTAGCAAGACTGCCGCAGAGAAACTATTTTGGAATTTTCGGGATGCTCAACAACCTTCCTTCGGAATGACAACTGTTCAACCCACGTGAGAAATTTCGAAACCTAGGATTGTTGAGACATGCTAATTTTGTGGAGCAGATACTTTATCGGGCCACCTTTAATTCCTTGGAAAACTTCTGCAGATATTCCGTATTCTAACATTGACTTCTGGAAAGTTGTATCAGGGGAAGATATACCTGGTCCTATGATGATCTACGGCGACACAGTTGATATACGGGATGTTGCACGAATTTTACTATGGTCGGCATCAAATCCACGTTGTTCCGATGGGCAACGTTTCGTATGCTCCTCAGCAGTTGGTGGTGGACAAGCTATTGCTGACATATTGAGAAAACGGATGCCCTCTTTGAATATACAGAGGGGATGTCCCGGGCATGGGTACTCACCTGACTACAGACCCCAAGAAGGCGTTCCGGGATTTGATTCAAAGAAGGCAGTTGAAGCTACTCAAGAGAATTGGATTCCATATGAGGACAGTGTGGTCTATATGGCACAATTTTTACAGCAGTATCTTTCATAATTGCTGATGTATTACATTGACCATAGAATTAATTTTCCCTTTCTCATTAGACATAGACAAAATTATACTTTTTTGGCATCGGTGCTTATTATGACCAGGTAGTTATGCTGGGATAAAGGACGAAAGTCATATAACCTAACTGTTTACGGCACTAAAGAAAAATTGAGTGGATGAATGGATTCTATTGAATGATCAGACTATCAATTATGATTGATTATGGAACGGATTGAAATGATTTGGGTTACAATTCATCGAATTGATCAGGTGAAGAAAGAAGGGGCTAAACTATGAAAAGGCTGTGTAAGTCTAAAGCGAGCGAGGTCTGCCCATCCAGCATTGTGTACAATCTTTTCAGATAGAATATAATAGCATCGTCCCAAATAACATCACGGCGTGAAACATAAAATAAGGATACTTGAGTCAGAACTGGTATTATTGTGGTGAGAATTATCATTAACTTCTTCTGTCATGGCGTACACTATCTAACTAGTTTGATGACCTCAGACAGAATTACACAAGTGCTTGGAATGATGGCCGAGAAGACAAGCTGCACAAGCTTCCTCGTGACATGTTGGTGTTGGTCAAGTTTGCTGAATAAGTGACGAATGTAGACTATCGCATCCGACGTCCTCGGGATTGTGAAAGCTAATAGTAAAGAATTAGAGTCTTGAGTGAAAATCAACACATGAATGATCCTATGAACGTACCATTAGTGAAAACTGAGAAGCAACCTCCTCAAGCTTGCGTGAGAAAATAATTCCCAGCCAAGACTTCGCCAAGACCCAACTTCTTCTCAGCGCCGTCCTCATCCCACCACATCCTGGCCGTCAGCCCGACCTCTTCGGCGAGTCCAAGCGAGCTCCTGGCTTTAGCGGCATCTAACGCCTTCGGCTGTTCAAACACCAGGAAAACGTAGCGATGTGCCGAGCTGGGCTTGGGCGGCCCGGGACCTCTGTACGGCACCAGCCACTCTGCGGAGCCTGTAAGCGGAACAAAGCCGTCGGCGTCGGGAGTACCAGGCACGAAATCGATACCCAAGCCGTGTAGGATGGGTGATAGAAAGGAGAAAGAAGGGAACGGGGCATCCAGATCAATAGATACGACGACGTATTTGGTGTCGGAAGCCGACTTCAATGCATCTTTGTGGATAGATAGCGTTGGTGTTGGTGTTGCCACCGGGATGGTAATGTTGGCGCCCGCTTCCGAGACGGTGGCTTCCGGATAGTGTATACGCAGCGTTGTCGTGGTCTTAGCGGCCGCCAGCGCCTTTTGTGCACTTTGGGATTCTTTTCCCATTTTGAAGTTCTCTTGTTTATTACCCTTCTCTGTGTTGTGTTAAAATGCAAATGGGAAGAAATGCGGTTCTTGTCAAGTTGCTGGCATACATTTTGGGCTCTGTCAATTTATACTATTGCCAAGACTTTTGTCCGTTAAATTTGGTGGTACCCGATGCAGGACCGGCTCATGATCGGCCAAGCACCGCCGTGGTCGCATATTGGTGAAATCTCTACTGTCTTACTCTATCCAAGTACAAACGTTTTGGTCGTAAAACAGCTCGCTTCCAGAACTTCAACTCGATCATATGAACATAGAATTGCCAATTATGGCTTGCTATTATCAGTACCTTTCTGACTGCCCTAGCGAGAAAGCTACACGAATGCTGAAGCTGGCCTGCTAATTTAGAATGACGAGTCCGGAGCCGAAGCGGCACACGGCACTAATTTTCATAACCTAGCCTATTTACTGGCTGATTTGATGACTAATCGTCTCACAGAGGGTATCTGGAGCCCCTACTTCCCAAATTACTGGAGCATGTCATTCGGATAATACATTTCCTGGACTTATGTCAAGTTTGGTCGCTTCTCTTGACAACGCTCCCTGCAGGGCCGCTACAACCTACGGCCCAACTAGGCTCACCCAATGAGCTCATGCAAAGCTCGGAGGATATTTACCAACAAAATGATACCTACCATCGATGATTACAACGGGTCGGTTCACACTGAATCTTCAAGGCAGGCTATTTACTCAATGCATACCTGCTCTTAGCGGTCTGTAGAGCCGTGGCTTTTATTGAAGTTGCAAATTGGAACATATACGACGACGCTATGGTTTGCTTTACGGAAGCTCTCAACCCAACTTCTTAGTAATATAGCCCTGGTAGCTCAATTGGTTAGAGCGTCGGACTTTTATCGGCATTGCCCTGAAAAGCGCCATCCGGAAAGGCATCCGAAGGCTGCGGGTTCGACCCCCGCCTGGGGCGAGGAAATGTGAATGGTGACCAACCAGATGCAATTCGTTAATTTTTTGCATACAAATTTCCCGACCTTCATCATTCTGGGCACGGCAAGTTGTTGGGTCGCGCGAGCATGCTGCGCGGTCAGCTAGGGATATATCCGGTGTCAAAGCAAACCTTGATAGTTCGACAATTGTGTCATGTAATACAGTCCTCTAAAACTGAAATGCACAATACAATAACAGCACTTTGCATGATTGATCATATGTTTCTATTTACACAACCAAACATAGATGTCGGGATGATTGTACGAACAATGGTATATTGAACTCGGATCTGTATGTGCAACAGGGTAAGTGTTGTTCAGGTACGATCATAAATGGGTGAAACAGAAGTTGGGTATATAGTGCTCTTCAATTGGATCTCTCCAACTCGGAGACCAACATAACAGGGTATCTGTAATAAACAATCATGGTATCTCGTGTGTAACGCACGGCTGCCCAAGAAATCCAGCTGGTCTGCATCCTATCCTCATTAAATCATGACACGCTTGCTAACCCCCGCCAAATCTAAACGATAATAGACTGCATTGCAGCGAGATGCCAACTTTGCCTTGGTGATGCACCAGATGCGAATCACCAAACCAAACTTATTATGACTGCCACGACAGGCATGCCGAGTACTTTTGGCAGGGATTTTCCAAAGCTTGAGCTTCCAGAATCGTCATCGTCACTCCCACTCCCAGTAACAACTTGCCCAGAGGAAGCAAGGACTCTTTCACCCGACGGGTATCGAATATTGTAGACGGGATCTGTGGTCAAAGCGACAGGGTCACCCAAAGTATGGGGACAAGTAGGTTGGTTGGCATTTGGCCAATCAAGAGTGCATTTTTCATCGTGGCCCCAGGAACAGATGGCGTCTTGGATATTATATAAAACGTAATTTTTGGCCACCCAGCTATCGGGCTGGCCTAGGCAATTGGCGAGGAAATTGATACTGTTTGATGCACTGAGAGGGAGTTTGTGGCCGTCCGTGTGAATCAGATCAGAACAAGAAGACGGCGACACATATTTATACTGCATGGCAACCGCGCCACCAGCAGTCGGGGACTTGGTAGCTGAGAAGCCGGTAATCAGATAATTCCAGGCATCGTAGCTGACATCGTGCGCACCCTGGGAGCTGTCAACGCGGAGTAAGTTGACCGAGCGGCCGCTGTAGCTCAACGACACGCAGACATTGTTGCAGTCCACGGAGCCGGGCCAGTAGGCAATGCGGTCGGTGTTGACCTTGCAGCCGAGAACGCCGACGGACGATGAGTAACTGTCGTGTGGTGTTGCCCACACAGTGTCATCGGCCCGGGCAACAGCCAAGGCTGTCAAAAATGACAGGACGTAATGAGTGTCAGTGCGCATGGCACAGTGAGTGGCTGAGACGGGCCGGTCTCAAATGTCGAAAAAGAGAGAGAATGAATGGCATACCGCGGCCGTGCCGGGTAGAATAAGGAGCGGATTGGGTCAAGTTGAAAGCCAGCTTTGCGGGAGCCGCTGCGACTCAACCAGCAGGCAAGTCGCGCTCCGATCTTGCTCGAAGGCAACAATCAAAATTTGTTCATGCCGTGTGGGAGTGTAGAGAGAAAGGGAAGAGACGCGCCGGCCGGCTTGCGAATGCGCCGCTGTCGTGGCTGGGCGCGATTCGACCTGCGCCAAAATTAAATGAGCACTTCCGCTTTGGGGTTAGGGGACCCTGAGTTCTGCTCCATCTCAAGATGGGAAAGCTTAAAAGGTGGAGAGCTCGCGGTCGGGGTGCAGTGCACGTACCACATCGAGCAGGCCACTGTTCACCGGTAACCCTTTTCGGAGTTACCTGCCTACACACGATGCCTACCGATTAGTCCGGGCGGGCGGCCATTCCTTGGATGGCTAATATTCAACCGACGAAAGGAGGACAGTCTACCACTTCTGTCTTCAACCTGTGCCTATCTAGTTGGTATCTCATCTCTCTCTTCATGTTGTTAGGACAGTCAACAGACTGTCCTCTGTGCGTAGAGTAAGGTATATGATGTATGAAAGAAAATCAGGTATCATCAGGTCTGACGTTGCTGCTTCAGCGCGCCGTTCAAGCTCAATCATATAGTGAGTTGTGCTCTCGTCTTTCAGGTAGCTCTACTTGCAAATCAAGGCCGCTGCTATTCATGCTTATGGTGACGTATATGTTTCTAGTTCAGCTAGGTGACAAGGATTATAAATAAACTATCTTGTTCAATCAAAACAAATCTTGAAGAAATGTTCCTTTAAAAGTCCGAGAATCAGTCTTGAGAGGGGTGTACGCAAACAACTGGTGGGGCGGGGAAAGAGAAAGGTGAGACCAGAGGGCAAGAGTAGTACTGTAATGCAAAGAAAGGCAGACATGAATCATGTTGGCGCGGAGAAGAGGGAGCACCTCGCTCCTGACTGCGAATTGTTATTGATGTATCATTGCTAGGTAGGTGCGGTTTGCCGTACCTTCCGGCACGACCGCATTGCACCACGTCGGATTCAGCCCGTCTCATTCACGCTTTCCCTAAAGCGAAGAGCAGAACAGAGTAGATGCGCTATTGATTGGGGCCACACAAGAAGAGCCATGTTACCTTGAGTGATTAACGAGTTGATAAGAACGACTCCCTACCTGGCTTGCCTAGACATCTGTCTTCCACACCCCGCCGCCATTCCATGCTTTGCAACCATTCTCTTCCTCCCTTACTGTCTAATTCTCGGCCTGGTAGCTCGCGGCACAGCATAATTACAATCGGATACTATTCACAGAAGAGACAGCGTCTTGCTATCACAGCATGTGGTAGATGCTAGTAAAGATTTATATATTGTTGTGGCCACTGAAGCAATGGCGACCTAGCGCACTTGGCCACTGTCTATGGAAGAGAAGAAAAAAAACAAGAAACGCCGTCAAATAATACATAGGGAGATTCCGATCGTCGATGTCGTCAATTCGTCTAAATCCGATGTCGGGCCAGCATCATACAACAGCAGCCGCATCCGCCTTGCTACCGTGAAGCACGGGGTTCACAGTCTCGTCAAAGTGCATCTTGAAATCCTGGCCCAGCTCTTTTCGCAAGGCAGTCTGCACAGCTTCGAGGACATTGGGGAACACGCCGAAGCTAGCCGGGTTGTTCTCGTCGTTCTCTCCGCCCTGGAAGACGCCCGTGCGCACCAAGCACGTGTTCCACCCGTACATATTGCCCCCGATGATGTCGGATGCCGGGTTGTCGCCGATCATGTAGATGTTCTCTGGCAGCTTTTCTTCGCCGTGGATCTGCTCCATCCACGACGCCATTACCTCGTCCGCATACTTGTATGTCGCGAGCTCCGGCTTGCCGTAGACCACACGCTCGAGGTCGACGCCGGTCATAGATCTATACATGGCTTCGAGGCCGATGCGGAATGCGCCCTGGGACATGCGAGGCGACCAGTGCTCCGTTGGGCAGAGAACATCGCCTTGTGAAAAGTAGATGGGGATCCGTTGCGATTCGGGGTCCTTGGCTCTTGTCCTGAGTCGGCCGTTCTCGGCGAGCAGCAGGTCCATGATGATCTGGATGTCTGTTGCGTAATCTCTCGAGTCGGAAAACACAAGGATAGCCTCGATGTTGCACTTGCTGAAATCTCGCGGTCGCGACATCGCTTTCTCGTATTCTGTGAACTCGCGATAGGGTGCAATACTAGGGTCCCACGCGACGATGTCGTTAGGGACGACAACATCTTTGAACCCATACAGCTCAGCGACCTCGCGACATCGGTAGCCAACGCCACCAACCACAAGGACAGTCCCATAGTACGAGGCCAGTGCACTCATGGGTGTGTGAGACTGTATGAACTGGTCTGTGCTCACGGGGTTTCGTAAAATCTTGGATAGCTGGTCGCAGCGGGCCTGCTCTGGCTTGCCGCTTCCATTTGTCAAGAATATGTGTGGGATCTTCATGCCAAGCTCATTGTCGCCGTTCAAAATCTCCAGCGCACGCTTGCCCTCGGGAATGAGCAAGTCGCCATGAACAAGTACGCCATCGATATCGAAGGCGAATGCCATATTCTTAGCCTTTGTGACCTTCTTGGCTTCGATTGTTTGGATTTGGCTGGCCAGGATTTCACGAGTTGGCTGAATTGGCGGCATACCCGGCCTTATTGGTCGTCCATCCGCTTCTTCGGCATGATGAACTGATGACAGTCTAGATCGCCGCGGAGACCGTGGAATGGGAAGCGAGGCGCCGAATGAGTTACGAGAACTCCTTCGATCTTTTTGGGACGGTGCCACGCTCAAATTATGCATGTACTTGGCGGCCTCCGAAATTGACGACCGAGATGCCGGTATTTCGATTGGACCCTCCCCATGATCACCAGGGATAGCTAAGGTGTGACGCTCATGAGATCCTACCGACATATTGTCGTAGGGTACGTTGAGTTGGGTAGGGCTAATTGGCGTCTTAACACCAAAATCGGACTCTTGGAACACCGGCATTGATGGGTCTATTCGGTATGCTGCTTGTGGCCGAGGAGAAAATAACAATAGACAGAGGATGCTCTCGACAGGCTTGTGTATATCCTCGGAAGAATGGGGACACATTCACTTCGAACTGATCAAGTCCTTTTCGACTGGATCTCGATACATCTTATATCTGGGCACCAACTGTTGTATTTCTTTTACACACCGTGTTCCTGATGATAAAATTTCTCTCTATGGCCGGGCACTCCAATGACGTCCTCATGAGCTGTCACCGTACCCGCGAACATGAGGGTCTCGCCGAGAACCCACCCACCGGCTCCATATCGAGGTATGAGAAGGGGGCGATGAGGGCATTCGGTCTTTACAAGCGCGCAGTCCGGTCATTTTAGCGGTTGTGTATGCTTTCCTACACATTAGGTGAAACGTTCACAATCTGGACGTGTGGTTGGTCTCATAAAGGCCGCCATCATCTAATGTGCTGTGGGCCAGGTTCCGTTTCCTATACATTGTGTCGGTTATCACAGTGTCGTTGACATCAT